CCCTTTTCATGCATATCCTACAATCCTCAATTTTGCTAGGGTCAGGAATGTCCCGATTACACATACGACAATTCCTGTCGGGAGGATCAGGACCACGCATGATTGGCGGGTCAAGACCTGAAGGATCCTTCGGTCTTGCACCATTAGGATCGTATCCTGGGTAATACCCGGTTTCACGCTTATCCAGGGCTGCTTTTGGGGCACCCTGAGAGCTCGCCAGTCGCAGAGGCGGTGAGTATAGGGTTCGTCTCAGGCGCGGTGTAGGGGACCTATTCCTGATCCGAGTAGCATCGGGGTCCCTTCTCCTCCTGCTTTCGTCAAGACAACAGGGTCCCTTGACGAATCCAAATCTCCTGTAGTCATCCTGTCCAGCTGAATGCCTAGTGCAGTAGTAGGTTTTACAAATTGACAGTTAATTCCCTTGGTCAAGAATGAACTCTCCCTACAGACACCGCATCGGGGTCCGTCACGGGAGCATTCTTCACATAGATCCTCCTTGAACGAGAAACAGTACTCGCAAATCGCACCTTTGCATCCCTTACAACGAAATTCAGCAACGAGGTGGATGCGCCCATCACCCATGTATTTACTTACATCTGGGTTCACCAGCATCGCCAGGATTTCCACCAGCAGCACTCTTCTTCCCCCCTCCTCCCGGGCTTTGCCGGTCAGGAGGAGGCGGTGGTGGAGGATCATTGTCAGGAGGGCTAGGCGGAGGTGGCCGCTTATCCGGAGTACGGGAAGTGGCACGCCTTCCTCCTGCGTGATCATTCAATCCACTACTCGATGCTTGCCTCGAGTACTTTGAAATTTTCTGGGCCGTGCTATATAGCACGTTGAGCATCTGCTCAAGTTTGCTGTTGAGTGTAGTCGAAACAGCCATGTTATGAGTATTCTGCTTGTCCGTGTAGGACTTGCAGTCCCTCGATTTGACCTCTAAATTGGTCTGCGTTTCGCAGAGTTGGTCCTTAATCCATTTTATGCCTTCCTTGTTGGTAACCCAACACTGCTCGGCATTTTGCATCATCCTGTCAATGTTACACATTCTGGCGGACAAGTCCTCGATTTTGAGGTTCACACCACCAATTGCAGGATGATTGGATTGACTCTCCACAAGGGATCTCTCGATTGCTTCAACACGAGTAACAAGTTCGGCAACTCGATCAGAAAGAGACTCAAAAACAGTTTGAACTTGGATGATCGAGCGAGCGACGTCGTCGTAGCTGGCCCGTTCATTCAGGGCATCGCCTAAGCTAGTCATACGATCGGAAGTGATCTTGACTCGCTGGCCAAGCTCGGCTACGACGTCCCTAGCCCCTTGTGAAAGCTGCATTGACACGTTTGCAGCCTGTGTACATGTATTGTTCACTTGGACGCGTTGGCCCTCTTTCAAGGGCCGTGACAAGATCAGCAACCTCATTGGGCTGATCTTCGCCCATGGGGCTACGCCTATATCCACGGTCCCGAGGAGTGGACAGATCACTCATGATTGGATTAGATTTTGGAGGAGTTCTGAAATCATCCTGTACGGCCGTTGATGGCCGTGGGAACTCACTCCGATTAGGAGATTGACTCTGATACGGCGCAGATCTCCTAGCATCACGAACCGCCGAAGGTTGTGTCATGCCCAGGCCTTTGGCCACGAGTCAGCAATGACAATGTCATTCAAATCGGTCGCATTGGACACTCTAGATTCAGACATTGATTCAATATCAGTGGCATTACTGATGGTGTGATTGCGACTAGAACTTGATGCCATCATGGACTCAGATTCTATTGGAACATTGGCCCCGTCCATGTTGTCCAAAGCGAAAAAGGAGGCCGCATTGGGCGTAGGGCGAAAACTTTGTACGCTCGAGCCACTCGACGACTTACCAAATTCCTCCTGGAACGCTTCGATCCCATCAAGCACGTTAACTAGTGTGTCCGCGTTTAGCGGGTCCCTACCAATGATCGACGCTGGGTCACCTGATCGACCGCGTCCTGAGTCCCGCGTACTGGGGTTTCCCCTGTGGGCAGTTTCCCGATCCATTCCTCTTCCAGTCGAATTTGACCTTGATCGCTTGCTTGGGGTAGGACTGTCTACAATGTTTCGCTCCCTAGGGCTCTCAAATCCTGAAAGTCCTGGGGGAGGGGACATGTTCCTCATGGTCGGGTTTACCGACGGCCTTGGCCTGACGTTACGGCTGGCCACATCAGGATTGAGATTCTCAATCGACAACGGCAGCATGAATTCATCGCTTCCAGCAGCCCGTTTTGGGCTTTGGAATTGCGGGAAAGATGACGGGGCGGGTGGCCCTGGCATCCATGCGGCGAAATCCATGCCAAAAATGTTTCCGTCGTTGGGCCATGAGGCTCTCCAATCTAGCCCACCGGATTCGGTTGGCAGATGAACATCAAATGCAACTCCACTGGATTTACCAGGTTCGGGATTACCGAGCACTTGAAAAGCTATGCTACTGGTTGGCACAGGTCTACTGCTGCCTCGGGAGTCACGAACCTCGGACTGACCAATATTCATCAGCTCGGGGAAAGATGAGGACTGAGCTCCAGGTGCAAATACCGGGCTCGTCATCATCACGTCCTGAGACGGAATCATCATGGTCAGGACGACTAGTCCCACGAACCTGAGAGCGATTAGCTCTTGAGGCATTAGACGATAGATCATCAGTGCGAGTAGCACTGGACCTCTCTGAAGGCATTGCTTCGGAGAAAGTGTGGTCTGACAAAAAGTCAGGACCCGAAAACATCGGCTGTCCGGGCACCTGGCCGTCATTCACAACGTCCAAGATTCCGGCCTGGCCGAGAACCCACTCATCGGTCACCACATGAGGTCCATCCTCAGTGATTTCCGCCATGAGACCTACAGTAGCCTATGGAAAACGGCGCCTGCAGGGTTGTTATTAAAAAGGGGTTCGCGGTGCCAACCGAGGACGAATCCTACGGCTGATAACCTGCGAAAGGGTTTGAAACAGAGTTTCGGGATGGATAAAACAGGCCCTAACCCACCAACAAGAAGAGACCACCTTATCCCCCCCCGTCCCAAGGGCAAAGCGGTTGCCCCCGGCCGGCACTAACACGAACCAAAAGGGGTGCCTCGTTTGTAACAAGAAGGAACCAAGCAGAAGCACAGCACAGCGCAAAGCGAGCAGAAGCAGCGCACCCCAAACAATAGCCCGACCCACCTCCAGGACAAAGAACACCGCCCCAAACACAACGGTCGCGAAGCCACGCGGCCGGTGTGCAGATGCGCCGTGAACTTTTCCCGCCGAGATGGCGAACGATGAATGCCGGATGCAAAACTTGAGCCAAAGCAGCGCATTGGCTGTGGCGTTGAAACATGCTATGATGAATTTGCATGCCCCCAAAAACAGAAGTGAAGGAATTGGCGAGGGGAGGCGCCTCTTGAAGGGACGAAAGCGCCCAGGCTGAAGTAATTTGGGGCCGCCCAGCTGCATCAACAACAACACCAAGCAAGGCTTCTGGGTGGAGGATTCAGGCACCTTTCTCCCCGCCAAGATGAGAAAGAATCTGAACGGTCTGAAAGAAAAGAAACGGAGTTGCGCGCACGACCTGCTGAACGAGTTGCTTGTTTGGCTGAAGGCTCAGAAAGGCCAACGCATGGAAAGAAGCAAGAGACCAACTTGGCCACTGGGCCGTTGCCGGAGAAAGCTGACTACGGTGTCGAGCGACTTGGAAGGCCTGGTGCCTGGCATCCGAAGCACGGCTGCCATGGCGACGAAGGCCGTCCCTGAGATTGAGGCATGCAGCGGGTCGCAGCCTCGCTCGGTTGACGGAAATGCGTGGGAAAGCCACCTTCGAACTTGAAACTCCAGCAACCTTCTGCTTGCGCCGCGCTGCGCCAAATGTCCATTCCAAGTTGTCGCAACTTCTTCCGCTTCAATGGAAATGAGCCTTGTCAATTCCAAGGATCACAGAGAAGCCAAGGGCCAGCCTCGGACTCGGACGGCTTGAGCACTGGCCTCCGCTGATCACAGCAGAGAAGGCGGCGTGCCTTGTCTATATCGATGTGACAGGGTGCCCAAAGTCCATGGGCACGGTGGATTCATTTGTTGGATGCCTTTCGACAGTCGTGGACCTCATCCTCACTGCGGCTCCGTCTTCAAGCCTCCGCCCCGTGTCGATGACGATGCTGGCAACGGCGCAATTCCCACAACGCGTCGACTTGCGGCCCCCTCCTCTTAAAAGATAGCTGCAAAACACATGCTGGACTTCCATATGCTGCGCAAGACTTCCATTTCAATGAAAATCTGCCTTGTCAGCTCAAAGGATCACAGAGACGCCAAGAGGCAACACTCAGACGGCTGGCTCTTTGCTACGACAATCGCAGAGTAAATTGACCGGGGCGCTGCAGGATGACAGCTAAAGAAAAGGCGCCGCCCGTCCGTGTATCGAAGCATTCCAAACATTCAAATTCCACGATTCCTTTGGCAAAAACTACCCAGCCCCAACCCCGAACTCCGGTCCTCCCCAAGATGGTGCGCTGGCCACCCATCAATCTCATATCATCTTCCAATCACAAGGCCCAACATTGCTCAGTGGGAATTTGGTTTTGACTTAGCTGTTGACACAATTCAAAAAGGCTGCCTTCTAGCCACCTCAAGCCTCAGGCCTCTGCAGGGCGACTGCAAAAATCTCTGCGCTATGGACAAAAAAAATCCTGCCCGGCCTCGTTTGAAAAGCCAGGAGCAAAAACGTGTTGGAAACGAACACATAGAAAATTAAATGGGCGCCCATGATAGGATGTCAGCACATGCACTCAGCCCTCAAGCTCGTCTGCGCTTGACAAAACCTAGTACAGGCACAAGATTGAAGCTCAATTTGGAACACTGTCTTGAAGTCCCTCGGAAAGATCCCACGCAAACACACATCAAGTTTCTTTGTTTCGCGAGGCTCCTGCAAAGCCCCGCCCGGCGCACGGCACCGTGGAGCTTCAGCTGCGCCTCGCCCCGGAGCCGCTGCCCCCTGGGCTTCCCGGCCGATTTTGTTGCCCTGCAGACCCAGCAGCTGCGCCAGGCCTTGAAACCCGCGTCTCTGGGCGCCATCCGAACCTCGGGGGCGGACGGCTTTGGCTGATACGGCTCCTGCGCACCAAGTTTCGCCTGCTGGCATTTGAAATCAGCATACGCAAGCTGTGTTAAACAACTTGGGATGACGGCTCTGGGCAGGAGCTGAGATAGCGCGCACATCAAAGGTGCCTAGGAGGTGAGCGGCAAGGAAGTAGATAGAATGACACGGAAGATAGTGACTGTTGGTGTCACCGCAGGTCGGTTATGATGTGGCGCAGTTGCTGGAGAGCCCCAAAGCAAAGGCGCAGGCAAAAGCAAAAGGGGCCGCCCGCCAGCTGCAACAACGAGAATACGAAGTCGATTGAACGGGGCGCTGCAGGATGACACCTGAAAAGGCGCACCTCGTGGGTCTATCGAGGCAACAGGCATGACAGAAGTTCAGGCCAGAAGTCCACGGGCATGGTCCATTTGTTTGGGAGTGTTGGATGTTTCTTCGACAGAAGTGTGGACCTCATCCTCACTGCGGTTCTGTTTCAAACCTCGGCCCAGGTCAAAGACCACGTTGGCAACGGAGCAACTCCCATCAGATATCGACGGGGTGCCAACTGGTGAGCGAATACACCCAATCCCGGGCAAACTAGCCAGGGCCTGCGGCTAGGGGACAGGGATATCTGATACGGGTTCATCATTTCCGAAACAAACCTAAAAAGTGTTGATCCTAATTTGCGAACGCGCTCCTGCTACAGCCTCAGGCAACTGAAGATTTGAAACCCTCTGCTTAGCGCCCTCTCAAAGGAACTTGACTTGCTTGATTGCTTGCTTCTGACCATCTGCAAGCTGGGTGGTCAAGAGACAGGTAAACGCGACAAACAAGAAAGGCAGCTCGGTCTCAAACTGAGCTCCAAAACGCCCAGTCACTTAAAGCTGCTCTCAAAGAAAAAAGAAGAAATCCTACAGGAAAAAATTTGAACTGTCTAGTCCAAAATATGTTCCAATCCGCCCCAAGAAGGTGCGCCAGCCAAAGGCCCATCTATCTCACATCAGCTTACCATCACACATTTGCGGCTATTCTGAAACAGTGCGGCTCGGATATTGTCATGATTCACAGAGCTCAGGCAACCTCATCTGCAAAACTAGCATTTCAAACAAAACGACCCCAGATTCCCGCCTTCCCCGCCTCTTCTAAAACATGCTGAAACCGAACACACATATAATTTGCTCTGGGCTTCCCGGCCGATGTCGTTCCCTTCCAACTCCAGCGTCAGCTGCTGCAGCTGCGCCAGGTCTCGGAGCCCCTCTGCCAGGCTCCGCAAACCATCCAGACCTTGGTGTGGCGAGCAGGGCAGGGGAGGGCGAGGCGGACGGCTTGGACTGACGGACGTTCCTGCTGCAACTTTTGAGTGGCACATTTTAACGTGAACACAGCGGTCCAACATACAAACATGTTTCGGATAAGCGCCGCAGGAGGAGATGAGGACACACTTCTCACAAGTCAACGTGCACACAAAGCCTTTGCATTGCAACACAGCCTATTGAAATCAGCATATGCACAAGGTGCACAAGGCATCTTCCTCTGAAATCCAAACTTGCCAGCTTGGTCTGACTCAGGACCTACGTGTGGCTTCAAGAACTGCTGCAGATATCAAATTTCACGATTCCGAGCCTGCGAGCGGAAAACTGCAAAACGGCCACCGCAAAACGGCCACCGAAATCTGTCTTGTCTGCGCTAGGGTTCCAGGATCCCCTTTCCCCGAGCCTGCCTTGTGTTGCAAAGCCAGGGCAAAAACGTGTTGGAACCGAACACACAGAAAATTACATGACGGAGCCCATGATATGCAACGAGAGCACAAACCTGCGCTTGACAAAACCTGGCACGGGCGCAAGAAAAACCTCGACAGGCGAGGAGTATATTGCGCAACGCAACACTCAACAGTGGACTTGGCTTGAGCACCGCTCTTTGCTACAACAATTGCGGAGTCAATTGACTTGGGCTCTGCAGGATGACAGCTGAAGAAAGGCGCACCCTGCTCAGTGCACCCTCAAAGGAAATTTACCTTGCCCGATTGCTTGCTTCTGATCCTCTGCGAAGCTGGATGGTCCAGAGACAAGTGAAAGCGGCCAAACAAGAAGGGCGAAAAACACGGACAGGGGCAGCTGGGCCTTCGAAACTGAGCTCCAAACGTCCAGTCACTCCAAGCTGCTCCCAAAGAAAAATGAAGAAATCCTAAGGAGAAACCAATACTGTCAGCAGCAAGCAATCTGGAGTCTAGACCTTCAAATTTATGTGATTCCGCGCTTGCAGGCGACAAGATTGGGCGTTCCAATCTGAAGAAGGTGTGCCAGCCAAAGGCCATCAAAGGCCAATCTATCTCACATCAGGTTGCCATCACAAGGCCAATCGTATTGACAGGGCAAAAGATTGCTCATTTTCTGAAACAGCGCGGCCTGCTCGGATATTGCCATGATTCAGAGAGCTCAGGTAACCTCATCTGCAAAACTAGCATTTCAAACAAAACGACCCCAGATTCCCGCCTTCCATGCCTCTTAGAAAACATGATGAAACCGAGCACACTGCCGATGATACGCGACATGAGCACAAAGCACATAGCCTTCAAGTTTGCCTGCGCTTGACAAAACCTGGTACAGGCGCGAGACCAACTAGCGAGGAAGTATATTGCACAATGAAAATAAACACCCAGCAGTAGCTTCGTTTCAGTCCGACTATACGGCAAAACCGCTGCCTCCGCCATGTCCAAATCCCTGAAATGCTTTCCTTGAAGCGGCCCTTTCATTCATCTGTCTTGCTCCTGGGCGCATGTGTGAGTAGGCATGTGGCTGTCCTGCTTCTGGAGCTCTCGAACCCGCGGCCTCCAGCAACAGGATCTTCCTGGAAGCCCCAGGAAGGTCCAACGCGAACGAGGTCCCCTGCTAAGCCCCGGCGCCTCTGTTTCCTGAGCTTCCCGGCCGATCTTGTTCTCATGCAGATTGAGCTGCAGCTGCTGGAGCTGGACCAGGCCGCGCAGGCCCTCCGCCAGGCCCCGGGCGCCATCGGAACCTCAGGGGCGGACGGCTTGGGCTGATGACCTCCTGGGATGCGGACACTTTGTGCAAGTCAACGCGTACTCAAATTTTCCTCTGCTTGAAGCAACCTTTTCATCCATCTGTCGTGTTCCTGCGAAGAAGTGCATTGCGCAATGTAACACCCATCAATAGCCTCCAGCAACGGGAGACTTCAGGGAGTCTTTGGAAGGTCCGCCGCAAACACAAATCAAGTTTCCTCAGCCCCACCCGGCGCACGGCAACGCCTCGCCCCGGCGCATCTGCCTCCTGGGCTGCCCGGCCGATCTTATTTTCGTGCAGAATCAGCGTCAGCTGCTGCAGCTGCACCAAGCCTTGGAGCCCGTCTGCCAGGCCCCGGGCGACGTCCAAACCTCGGGGGCGGACAGCTTGGACTGATGACCTCCTGGGACAGCTTTTGAGTACATTAGACTGGCAAGGTGCAACATACCAACAGTCATAATCATAAGTGCACTTTGTGCAAGTCAGCTTGGTCTGACTTGGGCGTTCCCGGCATGCGGCATGAGATACTGCTGCCACCCTTGTGTTCTGCGCGCGGCACAGTAATTTGTTACTTGGAGGCAGCAAATTTGTTTGCTCATGAGGAGGCAGGCAGCTGGTGGCGGAGGTGGAAGGAGAGGTGCGTGGGGAGGTGTGTGTCTTCCGATAAGGCTCAATTGGCTATTCAAATGATTTGGGAAACTAACATCCAGCTTCCTGGCCAGGTGTAGGCCAAAGCACTTGGCCCCTCAAACTCATGTTTGGCAGCAGTTTCATCAATCTCTCTTGTTCTGACCAGGCATGTGGCTGTGCTGCTGTTGAAACCCATGGCCTCCAGCACCAGTATTCTTCCAGGAGTCCCTGAAAGGTCTGACGCAAACACAAATCGAGCTTCCGCCCCACCCGGCGCACCGCACCACGCAGCGCAAGCTGCGCCTCGCCCCGGCGCCTCTGCCTCCTGGGCTTCCCGGCCGATCTCGTTCTTTCTCAGATTCAGCGTCAGCTGCTGCAGCTGCACCAGGCCTTGGAGCCCGTCTGCCAGGCCCCGGGCGCCATCCGAACCTCGGGGTCGGGCGGCTTGGCTGATGACCTCCTGGGACGCGGACACCCACACTGCAGCTTTTGAATACATGTGAATGGGACAAATTGTCTAACATACAAACAAACATGAATGCATGTTTGGCAAGTCAACGTGTACACAAGGCCTTTCGTTTGCAATACATGCTTAGCCTGTCGGTTGTGAAATCAGCAAACGCGAGCACAAGGGTCCTCCTCCGAATCGAAACTTGCCAGCTTGGTCTGACTTTGGCATTCCCTGAAAGGCCCGACGCAAACACAAATCGAGCTTCCGTTTGACCCGGCGCACCGCACCGCGAAGCTTAAGCTGCACCTGGCCCCGGCGCCTCTGCCGTCTGGGCTGCCCGGCCGATGCCGTTCCAATTCAGATTCAGCGTCAGCTGCTGCAGCTGTGCCAGGCCTTGGAGCCCGTCTGCCAGGCCCCGGGCGCCATCCGAACCTCGGGGGCGGACGGCTTGGGCTGATGACCTCCCTGGATTGCGGACACTCGCGTTGCAGCGTTTGAGTACATGTAAATGGTCCAACAAACGAACATAAGTGAACTTTGGTGCAAGAGCCTCTTCGAAATCCCCGAATCCGCTTAATCCGCGTTTTAGCTGGTAAACCCCCTAATCCGCAATCCGCGCGGTTTATCGCCATTCCAAGTGGGCCTGACAAAGCCTCAGGCTGCCAAGCGTGTTGTTCTAGTGAAACCTCGCAATGTAGTTGGGTGTCCTGCACCAAAACAGTCTATTCCGTAAACCGCGCAATCCGTAATCCGCTAATCATTACGGATTAGGTTTGGGTCCTTTGCAACACATGCTTAATGGTATTGAAATCAGCGTATATGAGTACAAGGCTCCTCCTATGAAATGGAAACTTGCCTTGCCGGCTTGGTCTGGCTTGGGCGTTCCCTGCATGTTCTGGGGCGCGGCGCAGTAATTAGTTACTTGGAGATGGGAAATGCGCTGAGGAGGCAGGCAGCTGGTCGCGGAGGTGGCAGCGAAGGTGTGTGGGGAGGTGCGTGGCGCAATTGGCTATTGACGTGATTCGGGAAACTAACATCTAGCCTCAAGCCTCAGACGACCTCATTCTCTGCAAAACTACCATTTTAATTGAAATCTGCCTTCTCTGTTCTATGGAACCCAGGATTCCACCTTCCCAGCAGGTGCATTCATCAATTTGACCAGGAATGTGGCTGTCCTTGTTTTAGAGCAGAATTGGAACGCCGGCTGAAACCTGTGGCCTTCAGCAACAATATCCCCCCTCATAGGTTCTGGGCACGCAGCAATTTGTTGCTTGGAGGCCAAGAATCCGCTTGCGTCGCGCCTAAAGTTTGAGGATTGGAGGATGGCCGAGCCTTGACTTGAGGTGAGGAAAGCTGGCCGAAGGATGCCACCTGCTGAATCAAGCAAACACAATGGGATGCGGCTGCGAATGAGCGGCAAGGAAAAACAAAAACGCGGAAGATAGCGTGAGGCCTGGCTGGGCCGACTGCACGTGTGACTACTGACGCAGGCCTGAGGATAAGGTGAAAACCAAGATGGGAAGGTGGAAGAAAGTTGGGGCCGCTCGCCAGCTGCATCAACGAGAACACCATAGAGGATCCAGTTCAAGTCAAGGTGAGAAAGAGGAGGGCGCTAAGGATTTCCGGAACCATCCTCTCCACGGACTCAAACGCGTATGGACTGGTGTGGTGCGCACGACCTGCTGAATGAGATGCTTGTTTAGCTATGCCCTGGAAGTAATCACATTGGCTCAGTCTGCAAAGACTTTCAAGCTGGAGAAAGGCTCGGAAAGGCCCCGCCGAAGGAAGCAAGAGACACTCCGTTGCGGAGCAGAACTCCTGTTGTTTGGCTCTGGCAGTTTCGTGAGCGAAATTTCCTTCGACAAGCTTGGCCACTGGGCCATTGCTGGAGGAAGCTGACTGCAGTGTCAAGCGTTCTCCGGCGCCTGGCGAAGCACGGCTGCAGGTCAACTGCCATGGCGAGGAAGGTTGCAGCCTCGCTCGGTTGACGGACATGCGTGGGAAAGCCACCTTCAAACTTGAAGCTCAAGCAACCTTCTGCTGCGCCAAATGTCCATTCCAAGTTGTCGAAACTTCCGCTTCAACGGAAATGATTCTTGTCAATTCCAAGGATCACCGAAAAGCCAAGGGCATGACTCGGACTCGGGCGGCTTGAGTACTGGCCTCTGACAGGGTGGCCACAGTCCATGGGCGCGCTGGATTCATTTGTTGGATG